CTTGTCACTTCATCGACTCAGTGAGCTTTACTGCTGCATTTCAAAGCACAATCCATGTAGAGGTGGTAAAGTTTTAATGTTTGTGATGTAAGTGTTTTGCCTTTTATTGTATTTTCAGTTGGTTTTGCTGACAGACAGCCTGTTTTAACATGCTGAAACATATTACCCACTTTCCAAACGCCACTGGCTTGCTAACCTTTGCCACTCTGCACTGCACACCACCCAGGTCGGATTGGAGCTGTTAGCTGCGCTGCACTTTCTGTGATCACCGCTCTTAATGCTATCCCAGTGGCAGGACGGGTTGCTGTGGAAACATTGTGCCCACCTGCTGGTCTCCCCTCCAGGTAGCCCTAGTGAGTAAGCGACCTCAGTTTTAGCCGCAAAACCCCTTTTATCACTGTTAACTATGTTAGCACCACTAGCTGTACTAACAGCACAGTGATACATAGTTAACCACATAAACCACATAAATAAGAAATCATTACGATTAATATTCTGATTTTTTTCTTTTTTTTTAAAGTGCTGTTTAATGAAAACTACAAATTATGGTCTCAAAAGGGACCACAGAGTTGAATCAACATCTCTCACAACACAAGCAGAATTTAAAGCTTCACAAATGTTGTACAGGGCTGTTTCCCTGGATTGCATTATGCTGCATAAATGACTTCCTGTTTGTTAATACTCTTCTTCCTGTTAATAACTCTGAGCTACAGTTTCTTGATGTATCCTTCCAGAGCATTTTCAAGAAGTCGATTTTGTCTAGCTCACAACAATTGTTCATTTTGCAATGAAGTCTGATGAAGAGCCTGACGCTCGAAATGTTACTTCTGTTCAAATAAATTCGTCTGAGCATTGGAGCCCTGCAGTGTGCGAACTGTTTTAATCTTCTCATTTTGCAATGAACACATTGAAACAACATTTATCTTATGAATGCATATTTGCCAGTGCCTTTTGGGAAGATGTGCATGACTGGCTGTTTCCTAAATTTGACAAATTCTCTCAATTAACAAAAGAAAATTATTTTTTCATATATATATATTTTTGAAAGATAGAACTTGCAATTTACATGGTTATTTTTATTGAGAATAGATTCTGAAAACACAACTGAATTTCTGCATTTTTCACATTACTGAAATGAATAGGGAAGAAGAATGTTTTGAAACTATGTAGCTTAATTGAGGAACTTAAACTTAAGCAGAGAACCACTAGAGCTCATCTCCTTTTATTTATTTATTTATTCTTATTTATGTTGTTTTGTTTTATATGTGATTGTTATATGGTGCTTGTCTGTTGTCTGGAAAAGAAGTGTTTAATTCTTGTACCCAGCCTTTTATGTCTGTAATGAACCTTTCACGGGTTTCAACAAAGTTTCAGGGGATTACTCTCAGCTACAGTCATATACCCATTGAATATGGAAGCCCACTGGAAAAAAACCTACAATGTTTTTTTCATTATTGAATATTTGTCCCTATTATTGATTCTAAATAGTTCAGGATGAGATTGTAACTCCAAATTTTGACTTGGTATCTCATAAAAATGATTTTATATCTCATAATTATGAGAAATTTTCTTGTAATTTTTTAATGGCAAACATCTTGACCTGTTATAGTAGAAAAAGCACAGGTGTATTTAATAGCATTAAGTAAAGCTGCATTTCACTTTGGGTAGGCCGCGGTATTGTGGGTGCTGGCTCACTGGAATAGATTACTGGGACTCCTAGTGGAACTGAGCCATGGTTAATGTTATTAATTTCTCCTTTGCCTTTCCTCCTATGACAAGTCAAAATCTCTGCCATGATAAAAGTATATTATGAGAACTCATATACAAAATATACAACCATTTCATTGTATATTGTATATATTTCAGATTGTCTACTTTACTATTTTATTATTAATTTTATTTTATTGTCTACTTTAATATTTTATTTTATTTTATTTTAATGTCTACTTTAATATTTTATTTTATTTATTTCATTGTCTATTTTAGTATCTTATTTATATCTTCATCTTTATCTCTTGTTTCCATTCATGCTGTATTTCTATTTCTACTTTGCACGGAGCATTGGAACAAAAACAATTTCCCCCCGGGGATTAATAAAGTATTCTGAATCTGAATCTGAATGAATCTGAATCTGAATATAAATTGAGATTATGATGTGTAATTATAGACTAAACTACCAGCTATTCAGTAAAGAAAATGACATCCACCTTTACTAACTGCAACATTAAAGTGATGAACACATGAATGCATCAATAATTAGAATCCAGTATATGATTCTAAAATTTTCTGCATCATGAGTACTTTTACTTTTGGTACTTATTAAATGCTAATACGTTTGTACTTTAATTTAAAGAAATACCTCACTCAAAAATGATCATTTGTATATTAATGTCAGGAGGAAAATATTTTTCTCGCATGAATCCGTGTGAACAAAGAATTGATAAAACAGAGTCCTGGGGGATCATGGTAAACAAAAGCAAAACTATATGAAAACATCTGTTTAAGGTAAGGGCAGTCACGATACATGCTACCTTATACAGTAAAGAAAATGCATTTGTTTGGGAAGTACCAAGCATAGGACTGGATAAATGAGACTTGGATTATACTGCATGAGATGTGTGGGAGTTTGTAAATAGAGTTTTTGATACAGCTTAGTTTCTTGTTGTTAAATGCGGCTCCTTTTACTCCAGTTCATCAAGAACTTTCTCTGTTTTTGGATTCTTAACATAGAAAAACAATTTCCTTGCTGAATTCAACGTAACACAAAGAAGTAAAAGAATGCAATTTAAGAATTATACATATATATATATATATATATATATATATATATAATATATACAGTACAGGCCAAAAGTTTGGACACACCTTCTCATTCAATGCGTTTTCTTTATTTTCATGACTATTTACATTGTAGATTCTCACTGAAGGCATCAAAACTATGAATGAACACATGTGGAGTTATGTACTTAACAAAAAAAGGTGAAATAACTGAAAACATGTTTTATATTCTAGTTTCTTCAAAATAGCCACCCTTTGCTCTGATTACTGCTTTGCACACTCTTGGCATTCTCTCCATGAGCTTCAAGAGGTAGTCACCTGAAATGGTTTTCCAACAGTCTTGAAGGAGTTCCCAGAGGTGTTTAGCACTTGTTGGCCCCTTTGCCTTCACTCTGCGGTCCAGCTCACCCCAAACCATCTCGATTGGGTTCAGGTCCGGTGACTGTGGAGGCCAGGTCATCTGCCGCAGCACTCCATCACTCTCCTTCTTGGTCAAATAGCCCTTACACAGCCTGGAGGTGTGTTTGGGGTCATTGTCCTGTTGAAAAATAAATGATCGTCCAACTAAACGCAAACCGGATGGGATGGCATGTCGCTGCAGGATGCTGTGGTAGCCATGCTGGTTCAGTGTGCCTTCAATTTTGAATAAATCCCCAACAGTGTCACCAGCAAAACACCCCCACACCATCACACCTCCTCCTCCATGCTTCACAGTGGGAACCAGGCATGTGGAATCCATCCGTTCACCTTTTCTGCGTCTCACAAAGACACGGCGGTTGGAACCAAAGATCTCAAATTTGGACTCATCAGACCAAAGCACAGATTTCCACTGGTCTAATGTCCATTCCTTGTGTTTCTTGGCCCAAACAAATCTCTTCTGCTTGTTGCCTCTCCTTAGCAGTGGTTTCCTAGCAGCTATTTGACCATGAAGGCCTGATTGGCGCAGTCTCCTCTTAACAGTTGTTCTAGAGATGGGTCTGCTGCTAGAACTCTGTGTGGCATTCATCTGGTCTCTGATCTGAGCTGCTGTTAACTTGCGATTTCTGAGGCTGGTGACTCGGATGAACTTATCCTCAGAAGCAGAGGTGACTCTTGGTCTTCCTTTCCTGGGTCGGTCCTCATGTGTGCCAGTTTCGTTGTAGCGCTTGATGGTTTTTGCGACTCCACTTGGGGACACATTTAAAGTTTTTGCAATTTTCCGGACTGACTGACCTTCATTTCTTAAAGTAATGATGGCCACTCGTTTTTCTTTAGTTAGCTGATTGGTTCTTGCCATAATATGAATTTTAACAGTTGTCCAATAGGGCTGTCGGCTGTGTATTAACCTGACTTCTGCACAACACAACTGATGGTCCCAACCCCATTGATAAAGCAAGAAATTCCACTAATTAACCCTGATAAGGCACACCTGTGAAGTGGAAACCATTTCAGGTGACTACCTCTTGAAGCTCATGGAGAGAATGCCAAGAGTGTGCAAAGCAGTAATCAGAGCAAAGGGTGGCTATTTTGAAGAAACTAGAATATAAAACATGTTTTCAGTTATTTCACCTTTTTTTGTTAAGTACATAACTCCACATGTGTTCATTCATAGTTTTGATGCCTTCAGTGAGAATCTACAATGTAAATAGTCATGAAAATAAAGAAAACGCATTGAATGAGAAGGTGTGTCCAAACTTTTGGCCTGTACTGTACATGTACACATATGTCCATACATACACACACATACAAATAAAGGCTTCATTTCCAAGGGACTTTACCAGCAAACCCATTTTTAAGAGATGGGCCCTTGATTTATCTTTCTATAGATGTCTTATAAGGATATAAAATGCACAAATGGCAACACAATAATTCAGTTTTAAAAATTCTAGCTGTTGCTTTAGAGTGTTTAATTGAATTAATATATGAGCCCATTGCTAAAGCCAATAAAGCATATTCTTTTACATTTATGGATATTATTATGATAATATTATGATAGTAAGATTAATCGTGTCCACGAGGGGTTTGTCCTCTGTGATATTTTCCAGAGAACCAGACAGCACTTCCACCGAAGTCAGAAAAAAAACCTCTCATCAGCATAATGACAGCACAGAGACATCAGGGCACTGCCAAAATAAATGCCCAACAGTTTGTGATTCATAGATAAGTGCTGCTTTCGTCACTGAACTGCGCGTGCTTCTCCACCTCTTTACGCACGTGTGTTTCATCAGATTCCTCTACTGCCGCTCATGCTCTGCTACGCATGCGCGCTGGTTGTAGTGTCATCATCACCATCCCAGAAGTTGTCCAGTCTGTGGTACCCCGAGCTGCTGCTGTATCAACGTGTGGCCATTGTCAAGAGCAAGGACACCCCGGTAGACTCCGACTCTCTCAGCCGAACCGAGCCTCCACCGGACTCAGCCGAACCCCCGAACAAGACCCCGGTGAGTGAACGTGCGTGTGTTGGACTAACCGTCGAGACAAAGACACTGCTGCTGAATTAAAACAGCTCTTTTCTCCTCTGTTCACATATGAACTTGTGCTGAATGACTAGCTTAAGTTGTAATTAGCTAGCTCCGCTCCTCCGTTAGCTTCACCACTTTATCCTCTATTTTTGCTTCCGCTATCGTTATAGTTTCCTCTCATTCCGAAAGGGCGCACATGATTCAGAACAACCGGCTTTATAGGGCAGTTTTCAGCCGACGTAGTTTAATTAAGCGTGGCGTGATGCTGGCGCTATTTTTACATTCATAAGTGAAGTCAGTGAGGCTGAGCTGTCCGCATCTGACTGCCCGGTGCTGTGCTGTGTGACAGCCCGTCACTCCGGGTCACTCAGCGGCGTCGGCACGGAGCCAGAACCGCCAGCTCTCAGACACGAAGAGGAGGAGAGGTGATCTTGAGCTTTGATTTAAACTTTAAGTGCATTTGACTGCGGCCTAATGTGTTACTGTCCTGCACAGAGCTGAGTGAGCTCCACATGCTGGATTTTTTGAGGGTCAAAGCTCAATGGAAAGATCACACGACAGCCACACGCGCTGCCTGCCATGCAGTCCCCATGGTCCCTGCAGAACTGTCACAGCTTGTCTGTTACACTGTGGGGAGTAACTAAGTACATTTGCCCGAGTGCTGTACTTAAATACAATTTTAGATTACTTGTACATGAGTAATTACATGTTATGCTACTTTATACTTAAGACGTGGTTGTATGTTTTACTCCACTATGAAGCTGTAGTTACTATAGCTAGTCTGCAGATTCAGATTATTAATACATAATCTGATCAAAAATAATGTTTATTTACGGGCTGCCCCCTGAAGGTCAGAGATTTGAATCATCAGTTAAAGACCTCTCAGTTGACTGAGATTCCTTCAAGTTGTGCAGTTTTTATTTGTGTAGTGTGCAGTTCACTTCTGGAGAGGTTTTGGTCCCCAGATTTAATCGCAAAGTGAGCACTTCTCACTTTCATGCTGGTCTTCGGTTCGGGCAGCTGCGGACATGGAGGCAGCTGCACCGAGGAATAGAGGCTTTGCCCGGTTATGCATCAAGATACATTATCTTCTGCTTTCTGCTTAGAAGTGGTGGATTTGCATATCACAGGAACTCATACAGTTCAGTCTGTCTAGTGTCAGAAAAAATGTTGTGAGCATTTCCGATCAGTCAATAGCATATAGAGCATGTTTACTGTATTACATGAATGTCACTTTCACACTTAATGTCTCGCTGAGCATTCAAAGCCTCAAACTCTGAATGGAAATAAAGTTGAATATTTGTGTTCAACAGCCAAATCTGATTCGACTAACAGAATTCTGAATCGGGTACAGCCCTATTTTTATCATGAATAAAACTACCAGACATTATATAATTAATAGCTTCACTTAACCAGCTGCAACATAAAAGTGATGCAAACATTAATACATCGATAATTATAATCTAATATTATAATGCACATTATTCTGACATGGTCTTTTCTGCATAATGAGTGCTTTTACCTTTGGTACTCTAATTAAGTGTTGATGCTAATACTTTTGTACTTTGATCGAAGCAAAATTTTGAATGCAGTTTTTTTAACTGTAACAGAGTATTTTTATACTTTGGTATTATTACTTTGGTAATATTATTATTATATTTACTCAAGTAAAAGATCTGAGAACTCCACCGCTGGTCTATTAATAATATGTGTGTAACCGGGGGGTGTTTTCTAAATGTGAGTGATTGCTATGTCATTTTCCATCAGTGTGGTGGCAGCGTGACCTGTAGAAAGCACAGTCACAGGAGCTGGATTCATGCAGTCACCCTGCTGAAGTTTTCTAAGGTGAGCGCTTGAATGTACCAGCCTCAGTTGTGTTGTCCTCTAATCTGTGACCTCTCTGGAGGACGGACAGTTGAATGTTTCCCTCTGGGTGTCAGTAAAACATCACTCCTAGATGGCAGAGTAGTTAAATCAATGTGTTGAATCAGTATTTGGACCTTTACGCCTGATCTAAGTGTATTATGTAATAAAATCGTGCTTTAAAAGGGTCCTATGACTGCTCTCAGGAATTGGCTCATCAGGTTACTGCTGCTGCTCCAAAACTAACCCATCCAGTTGTAGCTTTCTTTGTGCTTTTATTCTCAGGACATGCTCTGGCGCCCAATCTTGGCTGTGGCAGAAAATTTGCCTCCATTGTGCAATCTTTATTGTAATGCATGAACTTTATTGCTGTGACTTGGAAGGGAAAGCTCAAGTGGTTCATGGCACACAAGTGTACCTTCACCACTATGACTTGTTGTTTTCCTAGCTTACTACTGTTGTGGGCGTTTTTGGCAGATAAATATGGGAAGCACAGGATCACGTGGGCAGTATTTAACCTTGGAGGTATATCAGTGAATGAATAGAGCGGTAGTTTTTTAACAAATCTAAGAGATTCTGCAGAAAATCAGGCTAATAAATGAGGAATCTTGGGTGAGCCTGAGGCCTAGGGAAGGGGACAGAAAATGAGTGGAGACATGTCAGTGGTGTGTGTTGCAGGTCTTTCATACTGTGTGCATGTGTGTGTGAAAGGAAGCGTGGTAATGGTTAAGAGGGAAAGCCACAAGTAGAAGCAGATGTGGGGCGAGCTTATGCCTGAAGTCGTTAGTCTCTGGTTGGCTTCATTCATTTGTCGGCTTTGAAATCCCAAATTTAAGCAGCCGCATTTCATCATTTTACACCATTTTTAATTTGGGTTCTGGAAGGAGAAGTTCTCAAACCATAGTTTTACCTGATAGATTGGCCGCATCAGAGATTTAAAAGACCTGTTGTTTGTTGTGGGGAGGGGCTGGTTCACATGCTCGTCAAAATCTGGAAAATTAAGTGCTGTACTGCGTTTGATTACATGAACACAAGTAACCTTTCTGTTCAGACACATTTCCCAGACAAATTCAATCTTCTGTATCAGTTCATGCACATTTGCACAAGTTTTTGGGTCCACGGGTTGTTCACATGGCCTCAAGGCAAAACTAACATTTAAAACTGTGCAACGTGGTGTCCTTGAGCAAGTTTCTTCATGTATGTATGTATGTACAGGTCAGGCACAGCTGTACATGTTTGAGCAAGCAAGGATGTTTGACTGTATGTGCACACATTTTGAATGTTTGAGATAAGATATACGTGGTGACGCTGTCATTAGTCCATGCCGACGAGGTTTAAGTGGTCATTAGTGCTAATCTGAGAAGTACTTCACAGCCATATAGCTGTGGAGAAGAAATGTATAATGCATGGTAGTGGGTTTTAAATGATATCAGTGGTTTTCTTTGAGGCTCACTGTGCAAAACAAACTTTCTCTTATGCTCTTTAATTTTTCCTCATGTCTTTTATTTAGTATTTGTGTGTTTTATAGTTGAGTTTTAGGGGGTGGGGGATATTTCACGGGGCCAGGATGACTGTAAAAAATCACTCACACATTCAGGAAAGGAATAAGAGCCCTTGCTAACCTCCGCTTCCTTCTTCCCTTCCCACTCATCACAGGTTTTTGTAAGCTTTAGTATCCTGTCTTTGTGTGCGCTATGATGAGAATTCGGGAAATCCAGCTAACCAGACAGTATCTTTAATTACTGTTGTGACAGTATGTGTCCTGGTGTTAAACCTTTAATGGTAAGGTCAGTCTGTTATCCCAGAAACAGTAAGAAAGCCACAGAGTTAGGTTTTGGCACATTTGTATTACTTGAAACATTTTCATCAGCTGAAACTTTTTTTTTGTTGTTGTCTAAGAAATTTCAGGTAACTTTGGCCCTTCAACACATTTTAGTGAAGGGAGCGTTTGTTAAGGCAGGATGAATGGCCTCATTGATAACTCCTTCAGGAGTTGTCCTGCTTTGCTGGTACACACACTCACACAGACAGACACCCACCCACAAAAACACACACACACACACACACACACACACACACACACCTAACTAAGCTCCAGCACAGAGCGGTGGGTCCTCAGGGGAGATGGAAACATAAATCCAGTCCGAGTGGTGAAGTCTGCTTCCCGTAAAGTCCAGACCCTAAACTGAATGTCGCATTCCTCCAACGTCCTTTTTCCATTTTATCAGCTGGTGCAGCTGATATGGGTTCCCTCTGTGACTGGCACACAAAACTCCTAAAAAGTTTCTCACTGTTGCTAAGCCCGTCAAGCCTTCTGTTCCCACACTGCGTGCATTCAGTTTGTAGTGATAACATTGGCTTTTTGAAACAATGGGTCCCTGATTTCCGAAGTTAACAATCTAGCTGGCTTTTCATTTCTGCCAGTGACTGTGATTTTGACATCTTGGATGACAACTGTCATCTATCAGCAGTAGCTAGCTAGCTAATAAGGCAAATATTAGATTCATAACTTGGTTGAAAACACTTGTCTCTGGCTGACTTTAAAACAAGAATCCTGTAAAAGGGATCCTAAATATGCACTTTGCATCCTCATACACAATATCACACTAAAGCTACATGTCCAAAAATGTAGTCCAAATACATTTTTCTGCAGCCAGGAGGCGTGTTTGTGTTTCACCCAGGAAGAGAATCTTTGTCACATGAGTCAACTTGTCACAGGAGTCACAGGACTCTGTTAACTGATTGGCTGTGGATATTCACTGGCTGCAGTTTGCCAGTAAAAGTTTAACCAAATATTCTGTCCCCACTTTGCTGCAGAATCAGATGGCCACACCTCAGATAGGCTGATGCAGTTTTCCATAGACACTGAATGGCAGCTCACCGCAAGCTGCACTTTGCTGCTGCTTGGTGTGTTGTCGGCGAAATTGATGATAGAGTTGCTGGAGTATAAACTCCACCAAATATAAAGAGCAAGACAGCTAGCCTAAACCTCAGCCTGATATAGTAGCATCCTGGACCAGCTTCCACACTGCAGTACTACTTTAGGAAGTAAACCAGTTGGCCAGATTGCTAACAGCTGCATTTTACATTGTACAAACAAACACACTGTTTACAGTCCTTACAATGTTGCTGTTGTCTTTTTGCTTTTGGGAGGTTGAGAGAAAAGACACACCCCCTCCACCCTCTTTAAACACAGATTATCTAACTGTCTACAGCTCCATCCACGCCTCTTCAGCATGTTGATTTGATCCAAAGCTTGACAGGCCTGCTAAGCTGAGTTATATTTGCTATGCTATGATTGAACAATCGCTGTTCGTGGAACGGTCAGTTAAATTTAGGGCCACAGAATAAAGGTTGTCACCTTTGTGTTGAATGTCACGTTGTCTTTTTTAAATTTTCTGTGAAGCGTAAGTTTATCTTGTTCCGTTAATGCTGCTGAATTCAGAATCTTTTTGTAACCTGTGAAGATATATCTGGTTATGGCCTCCATCGCCTCCCTGTCCCCCGCCCCATAAGTTATTGAGAGAGCTGGTTTTGTCCATGTGACTTTGGAGCTTAGATGACCTTTGTGTTCCCAACGTCAGATTCAACTCCCGGTCAGTCCATGACGACATTGCAGGTTGCTGAAATGGACAAATAGTCTGCTGGCACTGGACAAGGAGGTGCTGTAGATGTGTGCTCATGAGTTATTTGGTGGCACTGATGTGTGGACAAAGATGTGTTTATATGATACATTTTAGTTTTTAAATTCTGATTGAAATGAATTAGATTGAAACGTCACATGAAACCTTTATATAAGCCTTTTGAAGACTGTAGGTTTCAGCACCAGTTTGTGATGAATAATACAGGAGCACAGTATGAGCCATTCAGTCCAGCTCATTCTAGTCCCAGTCCAGGTTTTGGCCCCAAGTCTCTCTTTGACAAACATTTAACAGTTTTATTTCAGCATCATAACCTCAGTTATGGTAGAATGACAGCTGTTCATCTGTCCCAGCACACATAAATGTAACAAGGGCTTGTAAAAACATTACATAAGAAGTGAAATAAACGTCTGTATGGGTGTGTTTGTGTTTGCCCTATTTCCTTGTGTGACCTAAAATGAGGTCACAGGGATGGCGTGATCAGGCCACTGAGACCAGCAGCGAAGTTGCTCCTTTGGGCACAGTGAGCACATTGCTTGTGAGCCGTAATGAAGAGAGGAACTTGGATGTCGTGGCGTCATCCAGCATCCTTTGTTTGATTTGTCTGTCTCAGTTTATTAAAACACAGTGTCAAATACATAACAGTTTAGAGAATGCATTTACAGACGAGCTTTGCAAGCTAGTTTGATTATTTGTTTTGAGTGCTTTTTTTGGTGTAACTGTGCTGCCGTGAGACTGAACAGAAATCTAAAAGCTTATTCCAAAAGTATATTTTGAATTTAAGTAATGCAGTCTGGTTCTGAGTGATTCATGTCAGAACTAAAGGAGGGCTTGCTGCAACATTACCCCTGTAATCATCACATTCCTCCATACAGGAAGACCATGCTGCAACTGAGGTCAAGTTAGCACTGTTGTCTTTGTCACGACTACTTTGGGATTTGTTTTTGTCAGTTGATGTACTCTGAACAGAGCTCTAATCAGTAGCACGTTAAGGTACGTGTTTTTTTTCTCTTAAAGGTCCAGTGTGTAGGATTTAGGGGAATATATTGACTGTAATATCCATATCTATGTTTTCAATAGTTTATAATCACATCAAGTGTTTAAATTTAGAATGGGCCATTGATACCTACACCTCAGAGTCTGTCTGCCATGTTTCTACAGTAGCCCAGAACAGACAGACATAGTTCTCCTACACGCTCAGCACACGGAAGAAGTATCATTTGGTCGCAGTCTGCAACCTCGCTGCAAGCTGCCTCCAAACCCGTCACGCTAGATCTTTAGATTGTAGTTTCAGTGAACCAGATCACAGATAGCGTTAAGCAGACGTCCAGTGACTGGTTA